AGTAGTAGGAGTAGTAGTAGTCGTGGTGGTGGTGGTGGTGGTGGTAATAGGAATAGTAGAAATAGTAGTAGTAGTAGTAGTAGGAGGAGGAGGAGGAGGAGTAGCAGTAGTAGCGGCAGTAGTAGTTGTTGTTTTTGGTGTTGTGGTACAGTAGTAGTGGTACAGCAGTATGTAGTGGTATAGTAGTAGCGGTAGTGGTAGTGGTAGTGGCAGTGGTAGCGGTGGCGGTAGCGGCAGCAGTAGTTGTTGTAGTCGTCGTCGTCGTAGTAGTGGTAGTAGTTGGAGTAGTAGTAGTAGTAGTAGTAGTAGTAGTACAAGTACTAAATAGTACTAAGTAGTAGTAGTAGTAGTAGTAGTAGTGGTAGTAGTACTAGTACTAAATAGTACTAAGTAGTAGTAGTAGTAGTAGTAGTAGTAGTACTAGTACAAGTACTAGTACTAGTACTAGTACTAGTACTAGTAGTACTAGTACTAGTACTCGTACTCGTACTACTACTAGTACTAGTAGTCGTCGTCGTCGTAGTCGTAGTAGCAGCAGCAGCAGCAGCAGCAGCAGCAGCAGCAGCAGGAGCAGGAATACTGACACGTTGCTCTGCAGTTTGAGTACGAATGAAAGAGACGGATGCACGTGAACACTTGTGCCACTTACTCTTGCAACCTAGCTGCTTGGATGACACATGTGCTTGCTTCTTGTACTGTAGCATTCCCAATGTTCCTTCTCGTGGAAACAGTCACCCAGCTCTGCACTGTTTCCTTGCGGCTCTTCACCGAGCGTAACACCTGGACCCTCTAACAGGTTCTATGAACGCCTGTCAGGGTCTTGGTGTATCGCAGTACCCAACCAGTTCCGCCTTGAGGAGCAGATGGATGCATAACACATTAGGGCTTCACATAGACACCCTGGCAAGATGGGAAACTCGAACCCATGCTGCGTGCCAAAGCCCTTCACGAACACGAACCTCGTATCGTAGAGTGTCTAGAGGGGCAGCTCAGGTGCTCTTCCATGGCGTAGTTTTTAGCGAAACTAGCAGCCAACCGCCTGGTATCCCAGCACAACTCCAGCGAAGATGTACACGGCGGTTCCTGCACCATGCAGGAAGAAGCTCAAGGTTAAGACAAGGTCTTTGAGCCTGCGCCAGCAGATGTTCCCAGGAACGGGAGAGAAGGGCAAAGACCGGCAGTAGTAAATCAGCCAACATGGCAAGATGGTAGCTACAGAATAACTCCAAGTCCTCTCCAACATCACAACATCCCATAAACACAACCAGCGTAACAGCAGCACCGGCGATACAGGCGTGGTAAACTGTCTGCACTGGTACTGGCAGCCAGTACTACGTAGCATCAGCAAAGTTCTCCTGGCACGACTGGTAGCATGAACATCGCCAAGCCTTGGATGCCAGCTTCTGCGAATTGGACCAAGCTGCCTTAGCCTAAATCGCCCACACGTTCATTTGGATTCGGTTCAGGGCATGTGGCTTTCGTTTGGGCGCCTTAGCGTCGGAACAGTCTGGGGCTTTAAATCTAAAGCCTTCAGCCATATTCACCTGCCGGGAGGCCAACCGCAAAGACCAGCAAGCTCAACAAGTATATGTCCAGATTCCATGCGATGAGCTGTACGTTGAGCCACGAGAAAGAGACATAGCTCGCCTGTCGTGCGGATACTTCGGGGGCTGTCACAGAACTCCGGTCATGCTAGGCGACCTCATGCAGGGCCCTGAACACATAGTACCTGTAGCAGTTGCGACATGATGCAAAGATCTGCTGGAATCAACCCCGAACCCCACACCCTGAAATCCTAGAGCCCTAAACGCCTGAAGCCCAACGGCCAACGACTCTGGAACATAAACCCCGAAGAATGAAACGACCAGGAGATACGAGCTTGACAAAAAAGACTGCCTCCTACGGTTCTCAGGGCTCGGGTGTTGCAGGCTTTGGGGCTTGGGGTTCACTCTCTGAGCAGCACTCCAAATCCGATTGCTACGTCAGAGCTGCTGTGCCAGCTCATCGCTACACTCGAGTCGGGGCATGATTGCCTGAGGCTGTCCTGAACGGGAGAACTACAGACATCTTCAGATCCTGGACTAAGGTACGTCTCAAATGCTTTTGAGCCCGGCTTCCGCCCCATGAGTTTGGCGTGTAGGCCTGATGACGAGGGTTGGAGAGTCATCTAGGCAACTGCCCTCAAGACTGTGTTGCAGACAAAGAGGCTCTCATCCCCACCGCCAACAGTACAGCAACAATGCAAATCAGGTTCAGCTTTCGCAGCACACTGGTCCAGTTCCAGGTGTGGAACTCGTCCACCTGCAATCTTGTTCTCAATTAGAGCATGTTTCAACGGAAATGCTCGGCATGGAGCACCGTGCTGGATGAGGGCTTTATTGCTTTGACAGTCTTGCAGTTTCCATTGACAGCGGTCGGCATGCAGCAAGTGCTTGGTGCGCATTTTCAGGCTGACTGTTTTGACGGATCGAACACTCAGATTGCAATTTTAGGCGGCTCGTGATGTCAAACGTAGTGTGTTTCGATTGACATGGCTCGAGGTTTGGAGTTGCATGTGTTGCCTTGTTGTGCCGACTGAAATTTCAGAATCGATTAAGGTCCCGAAGGATTGTAATCTTCTTCAACCTCTACGGCATGATCTTTTGGGCCTGGGATCGCAAGCCCGGAAACAAGTACCCAGCAGGATCCGTCGGAATTCAGAAAGCCTTTCAGATCACGGAGTTAGGGTGCCCGCCCCTAGCCTCTTCAACATCCCCCTGGTTCGCCAGAATCGGCCGGGCTTGCAAGTAATCGGGAGAATCGATACTAGAAGAAGTAGCACCGGCGGGTTGAAGCTTCAGGCTAGAAGCTGCTAAACCCTTAACAGTAACAGCCTTGACCGCAAACCCTCAACGTGTTGAGTCCATTCCTTCGTCTACAGTGCCTCATGACCGGACTCTCGGTTGACCCCCCCTCTGTCTGCCTGTGTCTCTCTCTCTCTCTCTCTCTCCCTGTCGGCAGGGCTGTGGGCAGAGGTTGCCCTCTGCCCACGCGCGTCAGCGCCTCCTCTCTCTCTCTCTCTCTCTCTCTCTCTCTCTCTCTATGACAGGGAAAGATGGCTCTGTCCCCCATAGTTGGTTTCGAAAGGCATAACGCCTCTCGCAAATGTTCGTGATTCTCAAACGCGAAGACCCGAGGGGCCCACCATGGGCCGAACAGCCGCCGTAAACCGGCCGGACCGAGCCGATGTGTCAGACGACGAACAGGTCCGCACCCGCTGACGGATCATGTCAGCCCTCGGCAGTTTGGGTTTAAGGACTCTTCAGGTCTCAATAAGTGATTGTACGCCTGCTGGAGTCGTGACTAATTCGTGCTGAGGTTTCAAATCCAAGGCATGACGGCAGCGGAGGAATATGAAACCAAAGACTTGGCAGCAATACATGAATCATAGGTAAAACTGTCCTGAAACGGCATGACAACACACCTCAAGTAGCTGTAAGGGAAAGAGACATGCGGCATGGGATTAAGCCATCAGCATCCCTTTATGCTAGGAAACCAAATCTTGAGAGCTTGGACATCAAGATTCGTAGTTGAGGGGCAGGGTTTGAATGACCGTTCGGATAGCGCGAAAGCTAGCGCCAAGGTGCTGCACACTATCATGGCTAAACGGAACAATACAGCTAGCAAGAGGCATCCAAGCCACCCAAGCACGCCAGCAAGAAACATGCAGGTGCAGCATATAAACAATGCCCGAATCCAGTCGTTCTTTGCCAGCTGGATGACGCTCCGATAAAACCGGCTCTGGTTCAGCAACTTCGAAAGAAGCACGCGATCAGTCTCTAAGTAGACGAATCCCAAGGCGGTCAGGATCACACAGAAAGCCAAGATAATCAAGGATCTTATCAGGCTGATTCTCGAGGACACCACCATGGTGCTCGCTGTATATAAAGCAGCCATTGCAAGGGCCGTCATAAAAGTAAAGCGCTTCAGCAAGGAAGCCATCATCTTTGCCGCCTTTATCTCAGCCTCTGTCAACCTCGGGTGATGGAAACCTCTGCAGCCTACATAGAGTTAAGACGCCGAATTCCGAGGCAGGTCTTTTCAATGTTGATTTTTATGAACCTGGGTTTCATTAGAATTCACTAACATTCACTGAGGTTCAGATACTTCCAGTATCGATGTGACCTCGAATCCATAAAAAAAACAAAGCGGCCTTGAAGGTGCAAGAGTAGGCTCCACAATGACAAGACGCCACAAAGAAACGATGCTTGCATTCTTGCATTGTGCTACCTCCAGATCTACGGCTACGTGAAGCAAGCCTACATGTACCCCAAAGACAGCCCCTAAGACGGAAATTGCAAAGTGAATCGATGCAGATGGGGGAGATCACGCGTGAATTTCAAAAGTGAATCGAGGAGTGCTCCGGGAGTGCGAGAAACCCTGCCTCCGGGCTAGGTCGGTATCGCTCGGTCTTGAGGGGTTTAAGAGCTATTTTGGGGAGTTCGTGGGCCTGGGGTAGCGAATCGTGTTTTGGAGGCAAATGTCCTTTGCGGGGATTGTTTAGGGTGATTCACTTTCGCAGCTTGCTTTGGATCACTGTTGACCACCACTAGTGACTTGAAAACACTCCTGGCACCCCCCGCCCCCCTCCCCCAACACTGTCTTCTTAGCCCGCCCTGAACAAGCTTTCATTGTTTCTGGTCTTGAAACGAGACACGCGCAAACACGTCGGAATTTTGAGCGAAAGCTTACAAACCACATGAGTGAGCTGCCACCGAACCAGAAGCATGTCAACAAATACAAATAGTTTGACATGCCATGACCCTGCCACCTCATGATATCTCAAGGCCTACAGGACTTTATGACAGGAGAGAGAGGCCGAAAGAGACAGAGATCAAGGGATCGTTGCAACTGTAAACCGTGGTGAGCAGCGTGGCAACAATTTGGTGCAAGATCACGCGCAAACCAGCAACGCGACCAGAGAGCCAACACACGCAACGAAAATCAAACAAAAATGACAAAAGACACGACACATAAAACAACGCCAGCAACCAAAAACAGTACTTTTCGAGATTCTGGGAGGTTGGATACCATATATATATATGTAATATATATATATATACCAATCGATATCGATATCGATATCGAAACTTGACGAAAACTTGCCCTGTTTCGTTATTTTGCCTGCATGCCTGCCTGCATGCATATGCATATGCATGTGGACATGACAATACATACCACATACCTACCTACGCACACACATGCGTACATACATACATCCATACAAACATACATACATACACACATACATGTGCATACACATACATACAAACATACAGTACATGTATGTACATGTCATACATGGCATACATATTCATAAGGACACTCAAAGGGCAGGGGGGGACTACACTTTCTTAACTAGACAATATTTGGTCCTTATTACGGGTATTCAGGCCCGCTACCCCCCTCCTCAGCCCCCCTACGGGTCCCAATGACATATTATACTTAATATACATGGCACATGCAAACATACATATACGTACATACTTGGCATACATAAATACATACATACGCACATACATACATACATGCATACACACATACTTACACCTATCCAGACATAGATACATGCATAAATACATACATCATTACATACATACGTGTGCACATACATAAGTGCATACATGCATACATGCGTATACATGCACACTTACATACATGCATGCGCGCATGCATACACACACGACAAACATGCATGACGCAAAAATACGACATGCAGGCACACTTACATATGCATGTACGTGCATATGTACCTAATCGTACATGCATATATGCAACACATTCACACACATGCCATACATACGTAGCACAGACACATACATACCAATATATATTTATATGTATATGCATGCATGCTTGCATAGTTATCATACCGACATACATGTAACCAGCATCATGTACGTACATACAGAAGTACATACATACATACATACATACATACATACATACATACATACACATACACATACACATATACATATACATCTACATATAC